GAAACTTGAATGGTGAAATGTGAAACTGCTATCAAATAAGGGGTGCTATGTTAATATGTAACTTGACCTGTTAAGGTGTTTTTTGATGGAAATAGCTTTTGATTTCAGCAAAAATTGATCTATTAATACTGCAAATTAAACAAATGACCATTTTCAATTCTCTACAACCTATAAAATGTTTTGAAACTCTGTGCTTATTAATTTGGAGCAGTGCATACTAAGGTTTTTTATTTTTGAAAAACACTGTTTTTATTGTGCGGTTTGTTCAGTAACATTTAAATTATACTCGAATGGTTGATGACTCAAAAATTATGCTGACTGAATCGACTTTTTAGGAAAATCACAGAAAAATATAATTTGCATAATAATTTGGAACACAGTGTAGATTTTTGCTTTGTATGTCTAACCAGACCTTAACAAAAAATATTTGTAACTTGTGTAAATAATTGTTTGTTTTCTTTACAAACACGCAAATTCTAGTCTACAGATGCACAAGCATAACATTTTCAGATATTTTGGTTTACAAGGTTACAAAACTCAGTTCACAACTTTACAAGTACAAAATGTTCATGAGCACAGTTTGAGCCCATCCACACATTACACTTCTTTGTCACAGCTGGATTGCAGATGTTAAATCCGCACAGACTCTGTCTAACCTTGTGTCACTTTCACACACATTATTATTAATATATAACCTTCACTTTCTCACAGTAAATCTCACCTGCAGAGACCACCACAAAGACGCTGAAAAACAGGAAATTGTAGCATAGTGACGAAGTTCCAGCAGACATTTCTGTTTCTGTTTTAAAATCAGAATCTGAGATTCAGAAGAGACTATATGAGATGAACTCTGAGGTTCAGATAAAGCTGAAAGTCCCTGAGTGAGAGAGCGAGTCTGTAACGCCACACTTATGAGTTAGAGAGAGAGATAGAGATGGTGGGCTGGACCGGAGTCCTCCAATGGAAATGCAGAAATGGTTCTGCATTAGGTTAACATTAGGACTGACGTATATTAAATTATATTAAATTAATGAGGAACAATCTGGATTTATGGCAGAAACATATTTAATAACAGTCATTTGGTTGGATATGACTGATTATATTACACTGGATAAAAGCTTTATTGTCATTCATTTATTGTTCACCAATTTGGATTTGGAAATTATTTTATATTATTTTTAAGTCATCGGTATATATACTATATATAAAGCTGAGAAGATAATTGAAGCTGGCGCATGGAGATTAGACAAAGCTTTTCTTCAAGCTTTTTTTTTTTCCTGTGTGTCACAAATTATGGCAATGAATATTAATAAAAAAGAGTAATTACAGGGTATCACTGCTTTAGGTAAATCATTTAAATTATCACAACTGACACGTGTGTTTGTGTCATCCATCTTAGATGATTGTAATGGCTTTTTTTGTTTTCTTTTTTAAACGGGCTTAGAAAAAATCTCAGTTTCACATCTCTGAGTTGAAAGCAACCATCCTCTATAGTGGTGGGGTACAGTAACCCCACCACTATTTTTCCCAGCAGCCCTCATCTTCTAGAATGACATCTTGGTCAAACTGAAGCTCCTCTGCTGCCACCTGTTGGATTTTTACATAGTTTACATATAGTACCTCACACAGGAAACCTTTCTTACACACACACTTTTTTTTAGAGAGAAGAAAATAAAATAAAAACTGCTTTTGGAGGAGGAGAACACATTTGAATATTTTTGTGAATTTTCTCCAAAAAATCAATAATGTCTGATAACTCATCTCAGCCTCCAATAATACATCATCATAGATATTTGATTCCATTTTTGTGATCATCTGGATTGATTCTTTGGTCATAAGGCAAGCAGGACTCACTAAAGTGATGCTGTGCCTCTTCAATAAATACAGTGTCTGCAGTTCAGCAGAGAGGAAGTGTTTGTTTCTGTTTACCGGAACAACTGCATTAACCACTAAGATGTGGTGAGACAGATATGTAGACTCCAAAGTTCCTTTGGTTTACTTAAGTCTATTTTGTCTATGTCTGTGAAGGTTCTCAGTCATCCAGGTCATCGTAGTCTAAGGAGCTTAGAAAAAATAAGCATCAGGACTTCTTTAAGTTGCTTGATGACGTTTCACCTCTTATCCGAGAAGCTTCTTCAGTTCTAAGGTCAAATGGTGGAGAGTCCCAGATTTAAACCCAGTGGGAGTTTCCCCCCAAAGAGGGACAAAAGGACCCCCTGATGATCCTCTACCTAATCACATGAGCCAAGGTGAGAAAATGGGTGTAGCTCACAATCAGCCAGGGTTTCGGGTGAGCTCATTGTGAAACCTGGCCCACCCTATCATGTGATGTCCTGAGGTCAGATGGCCCAAGATGTGAGTGGGTGTTAAGGCGTCTGGGGAGGGAACTCAAAACTGGATTATAGATGGCAGAGAGTTGGTGTTATAAACCACCGCCTCTGTTCAAAGATGGTCGCTCACAGTAGACATAGATGGCTTCCTTCACTCCTCTTTCAAACCATCTGTCCTCTCTGTCCAAAATGTGAACATTGGCATCCTCGAAAGAGTGACGTTTGTCCTTTAGATCCAGATGGACAGCTGAGTCTTGTCCTGTGGAGGTGGCTCTACTATGTTGTGCCATGCGCTTGTGAAGTGGCTGCCATTTCAGAAACGTTGTTTGTTCACAGTTAGAATAAAAAAAGTTCACAGCTTAGAATAAAATCTATAATTCCTGCTTCATGACTTAGTGAACTATGATCATACATGGTTGAACATCCATTAAGTTATCAGCAGGCATTCATATATGTAGTTAACTCAAGAGGAAAATACACAACAGAGTGGGTTGAACTAACTAGAATGAAAAGTTTGATATTATTGAACTCAGAGATCAGATTTAAAGTTATTTTTCCAAATCTGCCTTCTGGAACTGATTAGTTTTTCAGTAAACCTCAGTTATTCTGTCTGTATCATTTTATGTTGCATTAGAACAAAAGAGGCAAAGCAAAACTGGTTGCCCAACCCAACCTGTGACCATGAGCTGTGGGACTGTTTTACCCAAAACAGTTTTGCTTCTCCAAATTAGAGAACTGGATGATGACTTTGACCTTTGACCTATGATGACTTTGACCTCAGAGAGGCTTTAAGCTTCATTGAAAGTTTAACAGCACTGAGCTCTGTGCTCATTCGGGAAATGTGATTCAGAAGGAAGTCCAGTCTGAGTTCATGAATTTGTAGTTTTTCAGACACTACAACACTCAAGTCTGTGTTTTAATCTTATATTACTGAGTGAGACAATATAAATGTTTCCAAGGGGAACAACAACGGGATACTTGTTGTAAGTTACTGAAGACATAAAACATCTGCATGCCAATAAATTAAGTAACTGATTTCCATTAAGTAGTTCTGCATCATCAGAGTCTAATTCAGTGATAAAAAGACATAAAATCTTTAACATGTGGATGTCCTCTGGTCTAAAGGTGCTGGGGGGACCAGTTAGAGACCAGCAGCTGGACGTCAGTGGTTGGACTGGTGGACTACTTCAGTGAAGAGTAGACGATGTCTGGCTCTGGTTTAAAGTCTGAACACAAACACACACAGTTCAAACAACAGGAAACATGATTACAAGCTTTGTAGGTTAATCAAGACCTCCAATCTCCACCTCTCTGCATCACACACAGTCCCAGTTCAGACTTTACTTGGAACCAGTTTAGATACAAATCAGAGCGTCCGCACTGCTCACACCTTAACTGCTTCTTCAGACCTGGAGCCCACAGATCTGTGCTGATCTTTAACTTTGTACATGTGGTTTCTTCTAGTGTGGTTTAGTGTTTCTTTCTCTCAGCTTCAGTTCTTACTTTGAGTTTGTCATTAGTTCCCTCTGTGTTCCGTCTGTAGTTTCTCTGCCTCACCTCTCAGTGTTTCATGTATTTATGCTGCTGTTTCTGATGGTTGTTTGTGTCGATCTTCATTCCTGTTTTACTTTGTCAGTGAGGTTCAGTCTTTGACTGAAAGAGCTGCTCAGCACCCTCACAGACTCATGCAGAGGGAGATGTGGTTTGTTTTTGATGTAATACTGAGTGCATACGTGTGTTCTCACTATAGCAAGAGTAAGTATAGATACATCTAGCACAATATATACCTGGATGGTCTACTGATAACCAGCAGTAATGACAGATGTTCTGTAGTTATTCAGTTGTAGTCAACTGGACTGTCAGACATCTTGCTAATATGTTTCAATTTATCTCAAAGTCCTAGTGAAACATTTATGGACCGTATCCTACTGAAGACTAGTAACATTTTGCTCTCTGGGTACAGAAACAGTGCTCTGTTTTTTTTCTCTCAAGCTCAGAGGTTTTACTTTGTAGGTGAACTGTTTTGTGCAGTTTTAGAGAAACAAATAAACATCTAGTGTTTCTTGCAGGTTCAATCAAAAATAGACCCTGCACTATTGTCGGTGTTATTCTATTGCACGTCAACTTCAGCTGCCTGCCTGAGGTACCTGCAGGGTTATAAGGAGAGTCACAATTATATGTTGCACCATTTCCTGTATTTGAAGCAACCCTACGCTGTTGAAGTTCATGCACTATAACTTGTGTTTTCACTGTACAAGTTTATTTTTGTTGAATCAGATTGTGAAGATTTGTGTTCTGTGTTCATTTCCAGCTCTTTATTTTTATTCTTGGACTTGACTAGAGTACCTCTGCATGATTCACAGTTCAGGGTAATATTTCATTAGCTTACACTGAGCTTTGTTGGAGCCCCTTAGTTCATCCTGTCTAAAACAATCTGTATTAGCTCCTCTCCCTTTAAGGCAACTTTCTACTGATTGGCTGCCAATCACTAATAAAAGGTTGAAATAACAGGTGGCTGGAGCATATGTCACTGAGACCATATTAGGTATCGATGATATCATACAAACCCAAGAGTAGAAAAATCGTTATATGTTTAGAGCAATCTGCAGCCTGCACTTTTGGTTCTCATGGATTACTTTATTTAAACTTTTCTTAGCTTAGCCTAGCATAATGACGGTAAACAGGGTGAACAGCCCAGCTGTACCTGAGCTTTCTTGTCCTGATGGTTGTTTGTCCATTACTGACATCGTCAGAGCCCACTGCTGGGTAGACCACAGTTGTATCAGTCTCTGTAATATTAAGCATATACAATTACTGAAACTACAGCAACACCACTGTTATATTATTACTCAACAGCTGCAAAGTAATTGACAAGATTAGGTGATTAAGCGATTTTTATAATCTGCAGCATTTTTCAGCTTTCCTATGTTAACACCTCTGCTGTGAAACTCATAATGACCAGAAATAACTGACGGCTCATTCTGTGAAAAACAAGTGTGGATGACCACAAGGCTGCTATATTCTAATAATACAAATGCACACACTATACCACAAAGCACAAAGCAACAGGGTTCTCATGACTCGAACACTATCATTAGATCTTGTGGTGAGACGTCTAAACCTTAACCTGGTTCATACTAACTGGACTCAGCAACAGGAAGTAGCTGCTGTGGTTTTTTAATGCAAGTTTAAAAATGGTTCAAATCTGTGAGAGGCTGAAAACACAAACAAAGGTCTACGGTCTGTTCAATCTGTGACTTAATTGGCTTCACACTAAACCAAAAAAGTTATCTTCTCAAGAACTTACAACAAAGAAATCAAAGAGAAAGTTCCTTACTAATCCCCTATTTCTGAAACATCCTCACCCCTACTTTGCAGTGTTCCTTAATTGTAAAGTTGCAAAAAAGTTGTTTTAGAAACAAATCTAACAACTCAGCAGCCATTTGAAACACGTCACATAGTTTTGCAATTATATTTAAAATTTTAATTGTCAACCTCAACCCCTTTTGATGGAAACACAGTACTACCTTTGCTTTTTCTGATTGGCTGTTGTTGAGGATCTGATAATTGAATGTAACTGTACATGACATAAGTGATGATGTCATCTTCTTCTTGATCTGCTGAAATGATGCAAAATTAAAAATAATATAAATTAAATATCTAAAAACAGGTTGCATTTAGGAAAGTTGTAACTATAATAATAATGTATGTGACCTTCATTCTACTGAAGAATCTCAAACACGAACAATCAGGAAGTCTGAGTCTCACCTTCAGGTTTCCTGTGAGCACATCGTCTCACCAGCAGAACCAGTAACACCAGTAGAACCACAACACAGGATGATCCAACAGAGGAGACCAACATCATTGATGGAGGTAGAGTGTTGGAGGTGGAACCAGGAGGAGAGGTGAATGTAGGTGGAGGTGTGGATGTAATGCCTTGAGCAGTTATTAATGGAGATTTGGTAGCAGTGGGTGAGGGTGTGATGGTGGGTGGAGTTGTGCTGGATGTATGTATAGAGGTGGGCAAAGATCTGACAGTTGTGGTGGTGGGTGTAGATGTAGTGGTGGATGTAGGTGGAGGTGTGGTTGTAGATAGAGGTGTGGTGGTGTGTTTGTCTAAAATAAAGCAAACACAGTCATTAAGTTGTTGTCACATTGTGAATGTTGAAACCTGCAGAAACACAGACAGGTGAGTGTGTCACCTGTGACAGTGATCCAGCTGGATGGAGACTCTCCATGACCGCTGATGTCACACTTGTAGAGGCCTTCATCAGACCTGGAAACATGCTGGATGGTCATGTGACCTGTAGGCTGCTTCCTGATGAGGGAGCCATCTTTATAGAAAGCAGCTGGGAGGTTGGAGGGAGTGGTCTTTGTTTTACAGAGCAGAGTGACGTCATCTCCCTCCATCACAGGGAGGACAGGACTCTGCAGGATCACTGATCCACCTCAACACAGAGACAAACTACAGCATTTCATCCATTTACACACAGCTTCATCAACACTAACTCCACACACTCAGCTTACCAGTGTCATACCTTTGTTCCTGGCTCTCCACTCTTAGTCTCTGAATGTGTTTCATCCGATGACACGATATGACATTTCATCTTTACTTGATAAAATGGTATTATCTACCTGCCCAAATGACTTTATCCATACAGCGTTATTTAAAATCAGTTTTCTTGCTAATGGCCTTCTATTGTAGAAATACACAGTTCAAAAATTACAGGCATATCTCTAAGATCCCTTTCTTGTCAAAGCTTCTTAAAAACGTGGCCAAACAAGTCATTTCTTTTATGGAAAAGCATGACATCTTTGACAAATTTCATTCTGGGTTTATGTGTGCTTCACTCCACAAAAAGTCCTTTACTCAAAGTTTCTAGTGATTTCTAGTCTGTTGACTCTGCTGCATCCAGCGTAATGGTTATCCTGGAGCTTATTTCTGCCTTTGGCACTGGTGATATTGTTTATATCCAACAACCTCGCACAGCCATTGAAGTGGAGTGGACCAACATTCCACAGGCCACAATTGACAATCTGATAGACTCCATGCGACGATGTGTTGCACCGCATGAGGCAAATGGTGGTCACACCAGATACTGACCGGTTCTGGGTCCCCAGACCCCCAATAGCGCAAAAAACTGCACATTCCAGGGTGGCCTTTTGTTGTGGGCAGTCTGAGGTACACCTGTGCACTACTCATGATGTCAGATCAGCATCCTGATGTGGCACACCTGTGAGGTGGGATGGATTATCTCAATATAGCAGATGTGCCCACTACCACACATTTGGACTGATTTGTGACCACTGTTTGGGAGGGATGGTTATATTGTGTATCTGGAATGAATTTTAGGTCTCTATGTCCATCCCATGGGGAATGGGAGCAGTAACAAAGGTGTTGCGTTTATATTTTTGTTGAGTGTAGATTGAATTGAACTCGGGAGCCATTCTTGTGAATGAATCAGAAACAGTGTTTGTTTGGTTTTTTTCAACTAATAAATATGACTAAGTGCCAAACGGTTGTCTCGCAAGCTGAATTAGAGGTAAATTTTTATGCTTTTATTTGATCACAGCTTGATTATTGTAAGAGCTGTTTATGTGTTTGAATAAGATCTTGACCTGTCACGGCCAGGGGATCAGCAGGCCGCTGACTAGTAGTGTTCCCCCTCTCTCTCCCTCCCCCCCCTCTCTCTCTCTCTCTCTCTCTCTCGCTCTCTCGCCAGGGCGGAACTCATGGTGGGTTCACGCCCTTGGCCCACGCCCCCTCTGAAGAGGAAACACCTGGGCCTCGTCAGCGCAGCCAGCATTTAAGCCAGGGAGTGGCTTCTACTCATCGCTGGATCGTTGTGTGTGACTAGCAGATTCCCTTTTGTGTGAGTGTTTGGAGAGAGAGCCAGAAAAGGAGTGTCTTTTTCCTGCCTGGATTTCCCCGGAGCCCTTTCCCTGTCACCGCGTTGTATATAGCACCATCCCCTGCACTGTTTGTATATACACCTGGTGGGACTGTAATAAATACTGACTGTGCCTCTGAGTCCTGCGTGTGAGTCCTCAAGCGAACCGTGACATGACCATCTTCAGTCAGCATAGAATGTTGCTTCTGCTAGAGACTGCACAAAATTAATATAAAAATCTTTGTCCTTACTTTTAAAGCCCTGTGTGGTCAAGCCCCAGCTTATATTTCTGACCTTCTAGAATGCAACACCTATTCTTGTAGTCGAAGGCTATTAATGGTCCCTGTAACTCATTTTAAGACTCAACTAAATTCTCATTTATTCATATTAGCTTTTAACTAGTTTTAGGCTGTATGATGTTATATGTATGCTGTTTTATATTTTTGTTCTCAGTTTTTTTTTATTGTAAAGCACTTTGCGATTTTTGATCTACTTACCAGTGACTGTGAGGTGAACCATGTTACTGACGGTGCCTTCTCTGGACTCACACCAGTAAACTCCACTGTCAGATGGGTAAGTATATCTGATGTTACAGGAAGAACCAGCTGGTTTTCCCCACCCATCTCCACACTGAGCCCTCTGCTGTTTGCTTGTGTTTCTCCTCAGAGTCCATCCAGCAGAGCTGTCGTCCTCCTCACAGCTCAGAGACACAAAGTCATATTGAAAGAACTGGGAGCTGCTGGGACTCACAGTCAGACGAGCTGTGAGGGTTACAATGAAAAATTGATTATGTGTTATACTTGATAAAGAGGTCCAAATGGTTTATTGCTTTTATTATTTTATAATTTTCATTCTAAAAACATCAAACCAAATAGATCATATTACATTACATTTTCCATTAACACAATAAGTTATATTGGAACTGTACTAAATTCCGTAATTACATTACAGTTACATTACAGTTACAGTTATGGTGTTGCTTGCATTACAAACGTTCTTCAGTTTCCTGCACACCAGGAAAAAAGAAATATGGCGTAGAAACTGAACATTAACAGTGTTGCCTGAAAACTTCTTTGTTTGATCACTTCTTAATGAAATTAACGAAAGCTAGAATAATTGGCCCTAAAAATCTTAGGAATGTGGTATCTAAGCAGATACTTACTGTGGATGGCATTATTCTGATGTCCAGTAACACTGTGAGGAAGGTGTTGTTTTTTTTACAGGATATGTCCAGTGAATATATTAAACTAAAATGTAGCTGTATGCTGCAGCAAGAGCACTGACAGGAATTACAAAGAGAGAGCATATTTCTCCTATGTTAGCTTCTCTTCACTGGCTCCCTGTTAAATCCACAACTGAATTTACAGTGGTGTGAAAAAGCATTCGTGCTCTTTCTAATTTCCTGTTTTTGTATGTTTGTCACACTCACTGTAAATGTTTCAGATGATCAAACACATTTAAATATTAGACAAAGAAAACACAAATGTAGTTTATAAATTAAATTACACCAGCACCACCGTGGAAAAAATCCATGCTCAGATGGCCCTGTGTGGAAAAAATGATTAAGTGTGACAAACATACAAAAAAAGGGAAATCAGATTCCCAGAAATCACAAATTGTCATGGTTCTGGGTCATTAGACCCAGCAATGTTTTGTTGTGTGTTATGGTGATTTCTTTTAGTTGTAATGTATTGAGCTGGTTTTGCTTCAAAGTTTAGTTATTCCTGATCTATATTTTCTTGTTGCTTTGTCATTCCTGTCTAAGTCTGTCATGTCCTCTGTCTTCGTTCCTTAGCCAATGCATTTAATATTTAGATTTATTAATCTCTGTCCGTCTTCCACAGCATTTCTTTTGTTTTATCTCCCCCAGCTCACCCTAACCAGTTGTGGCAGATGTTGGTTTTGCTGAAGGTTTCTTCCCACTTTAAGGGAGGTTTTCCCTTCCACTGTCGCCAAAGTGGTTGCTCAAAGGGGGTTGTCTGATTGTTGTGGTTTTCTTTTCATCTTTATGTGTTTATAGTCTGATGCAAAAATTGTTCTCTGTAGATTTCATCCATTTAATACTGTTAGAAGGGTGGAGTTGTTTTTTTTAAATAACTTGCATGTTTGGTGTCTTCTGGCCTTCACGCATAAAGCAGCAGACAGGCAACCCTCCCTTGTGTCCTCCTGGCGGTTTCTTCCTGAGTATTTCTCTCCCAAATGCTTGCTCAAACGGGTTGATTGTAAGGATTCTTTATCTTACAGTATAATGTGCTTTGTGTTTTGACTATGGGATTAATATAAAATTGAATTGAAAAAGAAAAAAACAATCAAAGAATGTTTTTTGTTCTTTTAAATTTTCTTTATTTTTAAAGAATTCAATTTTTTTCGGCACATTTGTGCTACAGTCAACTAATTTCAGTCCATAGGCAGGAGGAAGAGAGTAGTTATAGTTTTTGAAAACTGTGGAGATATATAGCCAGGAATCCAGAGTAATGTTAAAGCTGAGTGAAATCTGACCCCAGCTCAGCAGCCAGATGCTGAACTTCAACAGGTAACAAACTGATCAGCAGTCAGGCTGCAGCCTCCATTTCTACCTGTTCATGTTTCTACAGAATCACTGTGGTAATCACTTTAAAGTGTCTTTGCACCGGTTTTCATCTTTATTTCTTGTTTTATTTGTACATAATGCTAAATGCTGAAATATCACCAATACAAATCGCTTAATGTGTCCTCATTACGTGTATTGGTGTGTGTGGCTGTAGCCTTAGCTTTTGTCTTTGTTAAATGGTAATTATGAGACTGTATTTCAGGTTATTTTACAGGGTAATGTATTGAGTATTACAACAAACTACTATGTGTAATGCATACATTTTTTTCATTAACAATCTCAGGACTGGCAGGCATTTCTAGCAACATTTTATAAAATGACCCACTGTTGGCAAGGTTACTTTTAAAATGTATTCCATTATGTGCATTTTGCGGGCAACAAATCAGGTTTTTGCAAGAAACAATGAAACAAGTACTGTAAGTACTTACTGGGTTGTGGGCCGTGTTATGGAGTCACTTAATTTCATCTATTTTCTAACTTCCAGGTATTTTAAAGGGAAAGAGATACAGATTGTTCTGTAAATAATTTTAAGTATCGCAGCAACCCGAGTAATTACTGGTTCTGCTTAAGTAATTTTCTGCAT